TCCTTACTGGATAACAATATGTAAAGCTGTCATAAGCAAGAATAAGAAAAAAAGGCAATCCAACTACGAACTTCATAGCTATCATTTATATATCAGCCAAAGCCCCTATAAATGGTTTTTGTCATTATATATATTCTTGAAGTCACAGTCACAGGTTTCAACTCTATATTGAATAATTAGGTTTAAAGCTATAGCTTTGCTCACTAAAATCTTCAAGCTACAGGCATAAATATACCCTCTTTCTGTGGCTATCAAATTCACTGATTCCGTTAGGTTTGTTCATGCATCCGAGCAAAACCTCTATATATTTTTATTTCCTTTGCCCTATGCCTTTGGAATAAGAGAATCCTTCACACATGACAGTCATATTCTAAATCTAACATTTAACAATGTAAAAGGACAGCATATTTCTTAGGAAATGATTATGGCTTCATTATCACTTAATTTAGTATAATGAAAAGCCAAAGTTTAAGGATGAGGAATTGATAAAAAAGAAGAAGAAATCTTTAATGCAGAGGCTTAAGCAATGCAATTGGCATTCATGGTGCTGATAATTTTGCGCATCATTAAATATACACCACAATAATTAGTTCCATTATTCTTTATTACACAGGAGAGTGCATAAGTTTAGGTCTTAGGAAACAACTTACTCTCCGGCTCAACAATCAAATTAAAAATGGCATAAAGGCAAAATAATTTACATTAGTTTACTTTCCTTTCGTTGTCATTCGTTCGTTTTCATTAAAAAAACAGTAAAATGGTTCCATTATGAGTAAGCATCTTGAAAAGGAAGAAATCCATTCATATTTGTATTAATTACCAACCCAAATATACAGCATATCTCGGATCATGACAGATAATATAATATAGAACTAGAGTTGGCATACTGCACGCGTGCTGTAGCATCTACTCAAATACATGCATAGCATCACTAGCTAGAAGACAACTGATTTATTTGCTGCATTAATTAATTGCATATAGATGAAGTACCATGATTTTACTAGAAGCATCTTCTTTTACGAAAGCAAAGTTCTAGTTCTTACTTGTCTTGGTGTGTCAAAGATGAAACGCATAGGTCTCGCACATACTTTTGCATGTTCTTGTATTTCACAGGATTTCATCAGTTTGGGCGGTGGACAATTATATATATATATATATATATATATATATATATATATATATATATATATATATATATATATATATATATATATATATATATATATATAATTAACAGCATCCAAAGCATTTGAAACTTGGCTTCTTCATCGTGATTCTAATTTGTTATTCGTCATATCAAAGAAGATTTGGCACCAACTGGGTTGCCCCGCACACAGCACAATGAAGAGAAATTAATAGCTGTTGAAATTAAAGTATAAGTGCAACGTTATTATGGAAGCAAACAAGCCTTCAAATTTTTTTATCATGATGTCGTGTTCTCTTATTACGGTATAAATAAGGGTTATCTATAATACCTTAAAATTTTGAATTGATATAAATAAAGATTATCATCTTAATATCTTAAATCTTTTGTTGAATATGATATTATATTTTTTATTAATTATTCATTTTAAAAAAATTATCTGTTTTTAAACATATGTATGTAATAATCCCTTATTTATTCTTAAAAATTTCTTAATACTAATAAAATTCACAATTATATGTCAATATAATTTAGGTTTTTCAGTTATTTTTAACCAACAAATTAATATTATAGTAGTAGAAATAATCTAAAAGAATTTAGCTGTATTTATATACCGACAGAATATTGGTTGAGTTTGTATGTGTTTTTATCAACAATTACAATATTAATTTTGAATAAGATGAATTTTAAAAAAATAATTTGGTTAAAGTTAATTTTGAAGTTACGTGATTTTTGTTTAAATATAGAAACAATGAGTAATAAAATATTTTTTATCTAAAACAAAAAGGTACTCATAATTTTTCTAAGTCAAAACAGAACTTAAAATATAAAGAAATTTTAACTTTTTTTTATTTAATTATTTTTTTCTCACTTTAATCAATGTAAGATATTTTATAATTATACGTTTATTTTTTGTTTTACAAGTTCAGTATTTTAAGAAAAGTATTAAATCAATAAATAATTGATTTCTTTAATCTTGATGAAGTTTGTTTTCTTTAAGGTAGTAATCAAGCTAAAATATATAAATACGGTGAACAGAGAAAAAAGTTTGTGGTTGGGAGAACAATTTCACTACAAATATTCAATGAAGTATTTTAGTGAAAATTAATCGGTAGTAAAAAAAACTTCAAGTTAATTTTCAACGTCAAATCAAAATACATGTTATCACTTTTACGTATTTCTAGATAATTGAAACTGAAATCGAACACGCATAAGATATATCATTAAAATAATGTTGAAAAAAAAAAAAACCTGTAAAATGGATAAAATTGAAACTCAGATTTTAGATCTGTGATCCTACTTAAAGGGGCTATGCTGGTGCAAGATCTGGTCTAGTGGGCAGAATACATCTACCACTAAACTTAATACATTAACCATTATCCTAAGAACCCTACTCCATCATAAATTCTTGCATATCCCTAGACACTACTGATGAGACCCCGTACAGCGTGGACCCACATTGTGCTTCCAGGGGAAAGGAGTGTCTCTGTCTTCGCTTGTTTATATCCAGTTTTTGCAGAAGCATCTGGACTCCACCAGAATCGAATTTAGTCACCACCAATAATGATCTAAAATGTGAAGAATATTATCTTATAAACTATCACATTAAACTTCAGAGACTTAGAATATATATACGTATACACGTAAAAGATTAAATACTTTTTGGGGGCAAAGTAGACATTAATGTTGTGTTTATGATAATAACATATGTGCAGGCATATGTGCAAATTTGATTATTACAATTTTCTTATCTTTTCTTACCAATCACTAGTCACCACGCAGAAAGGAAGCTCATGTTACTCTAATCCATATTCTAATTGGTTTTGTTTCGTCCCTAGATTATAACCATAGAAAGATTAAACTTTTTTGTTGATAACGTTGTTTTGGTCACCAGAACAAAGATTGAGTAAAAGGGATTCCAAATTCCTTCATCCTTTAGCCATGGCATAATTTTTATCTGTCGGATGTGCTTTTGGGTTTTATATATTACCACACGATCCTAAAAATTAACGAGGGTTGTTCGTATGTCCTTTCACAGCCCCTACTTTTCAAGCAACCAATATTTACTTTTATTGACTCTGAAGAAAATGCTTTCCCTCTACAATTTTGCTGGTCTCCTCCTAAGTGTTCCTGTTATCCCCTTTCAATCTTAAATCTTGTGGCGCTTCAAGATGAAGCTGGACGGAGGGGTAGATAATGAATTTGGTTATAGAAAAATATAAATCAATTGAAAGTTTTAATCATCACGTGTACACAGTGTAAAAATGGAGAGTAAAGTTCAATTTCATCCACTAAAATGTAAAAAGTACCAACTCGAATAAGCCTGAATTTCAAACTAATTGTGATATTGGAGCTTTGATCTAATCCTATACCTAATCAACTGATATTTTAGTCCATTTTAAAAAACAAATTAAATTCAAAAATAAAAAAGTAAATATATATTTTTAAAATATGAATTATATTAATCAAATTAATTTTATTTTTTAGATTAATATATATATATATATTATAATAAATATAAATATTTCCTAAAATAATATTGTTTTTATTTTTTGAAATATAATTAATTTTAAGAAAAATAAACCGGTCCATTAGCTGAAAAATTAATTATTTTGTGCCTAAAAACTCTCAATGAGCTCAATTTTTTTTTTCTAAATTTGGTTAAACTAAACGCATGATTACATGTTGCAAGAGAATTTTTTTACATACTTTTGTGGAAAAAACAATATTAGATAATTTATTCACAAAATAGTATCAGATCCCCTCTATCAAAATAATTTGAAATTTAATTTAACCTTAAAAATTTCATCCCACCAAATAAAATTTAATTAAACCTATTTATTAATATATCAAATAGCGTGTTAGAGATGTTCTTGGTTGTATATATCATCATCAAACACAAAAATTTTAGCACAGTACATTACCCTCAAAGATTTTAGGCATTAACTTTTACTATCTCATACCTGATCTCCAATGTAATTACTTATAAAACTTATTTAAAATTATTAAGTAAAACTTACAACAAAAATAAATACATATATATATATATATATGGGTCATGATATTTTGACACCCTTAACAACAACCAACTCAAAAAACAACCCATTTTATTAATATAATAATGATGAAAGAGATTAAATAAAAATGAAAACAAATTAAAATTATTATTATAATATTAAAAGTAGGTTGTTTGTTAAAGTTGTATAAAATTGGATTGTCAAAGTATCATTTTTCTATATATATATATATAACATGACTTCAGAAAAAAGAATATTTTGAATGAGAAAAGCTAATGAAAAGAATGTTTCAGGTATGAAACATGAAATCAATGATAAAACATTAAAAATTAAACAAAACACCTACTTAAAGAACTGTGTTAATACTCTTAACTTTCCTAAAAATTATACAAACATTAATATTAAGATTTTATTTGTGGCATAGGAGAGTCAAGTGGTGAAATATTAAATATTAAACGAACTAATTTATTGACAAATTAAACTTTTGAACTTATTTGGTAATAAAATATTTGGAAATAAGTGGTGACAAAATTTAAAATACTAGTTTTACAGCAATTTAAAACACTAATTTAATAACCAACTTGTTTAAAAGACTCGTGTGATAACGTATGTAACTTTAAAGGACTTAGTTAAGGATATGTTCAAAATATAATCATTCATGAATTTCCCAAAACAACTTAAGATGCATTCTTCAAAACCCTAAAGATAATTCAGTAGGATTAGTTCAATAACTGCCCATGATAGACAGACAAATGTATTCAGCACTTTATTTAAATCACTACATAGAAGGGGGTCACTGTCCTCCAAATCATTGGCCTCAGCCCCATCAACAATTACAATTACAATGGGCTTCTGTTTGCATCTTTGTATATAAGATACCTTGTTCTTGTTTTCCCTAGGGCACCATACCTGAGAACAGCACATTGTATTATTGAACATGCTGTATAACGATGTGAAAGTTACATATAACGTACCAATTAATCATTAAGAACGTAGTCAGTAATGTATAATAGTATAATTTACCATTGTGGGGTGAATGGTGCCATCCAAATGACATCGCCAGCCTGAACTGGGTACCTACATTCACAGAAAAAATTTCAATGAAAAAACAAATCAAGGATGCAAAATGACAGCTTTTAATGATAAGAATTAAATATCATGTAAAAAATCAATCTAGGAAAAACCATAAATAATAGTATATTCCATCAGAACTCACTAAAGAACACACCCTAAAATCTAACCAAAAATCTGATAGACACCACATCGAACAAAATAGAATGTGTAATGCTCTCAAATAGGGGTGTGTGCATGGGACAGTTTGGAACCAATGGGTTTATACCCTATAAATATTTGATAATATATGGAACAAGACCGGTTAACTCGATTTGTTAATGTAACATTATATATTGTCAAATCGTATAATAAAACTTACAAGGTATATTCCATAAATATATATTCCAAAACAAATATATCTCATACTATCATGTTTTAGAAGAATGTAGGATATCAAGCTAGATTGGCATGAGCCAAAGCATAGCTCAAATCTGTCTACAAAAGACAACGAATATAATTTCTTAAAATCAGAATCCATCAAAATGAACCTCAAATCGGGTTGAGTTAGTGGGAAGAGACAGATCGTGGACAGCCGTACTCTACCAAGATACACAATAATTCCTACCTCACCAATTAAGTTCAAATAGCTCACCATTAGTAGCCAACATGGGGCCAAAATCCCAAATCCAACCCAAAAGCTCAAGCCATTGGATAGGCATAGCACATAGTAACAGATTTTGCACATAACAGACACACTTCTAGGCCAAGTGAAACTCATCTTTCATTGCAGCATTGGCCAATAAGTTTAATGAAAACAAAATGCTACTATCTAGAACATCATTGAACATCCAGACCATTTTTTGACAGGTTGCGCCTAAAATTCTTACCAACTATCACCCAAACGATAAATTCCTTGCCCTTCAAGTAGCAGCAAGCCGTGCTGGTTATAATGGACCTCCTGCAAAAGACACAAAATTATAATAAAAATTAAAAATCCTTCAAACTTTATTTGGAAGACAAACTAACTCTCTCCTAGACAAATTAAAGGTGGTTTAGAATCTGCCCAAGGATAGTAATTAATTTGCTTCTTGAACATCATCTATTTAGCTACAAATCATTGATTTATCCAACAAAAGAGAGGTAATTTATCATATCCTCATAGTAGAGACCCACATTCTTAATGCAGCTGTAACGCATACATAAATAACATATCAACATCAGTATGGTACAGGCCGAGAAACAAATTACCTTCACATTAAGAAATTCTCCAGGTTGAAAATCCATTATCTGCGGTCATGGGTACATCAGTAACATTTAACCAAAATTTACCAGAAACCACAGTCATATGAAAACTGTAAAATGCAATGAAAAACAGACTGTGCCATAAAAAATATACACATGAAAGATTTGAGCTTACATGGATATTGAAGTCATATGCCAGAGATGTTGGAATTAGCTTCCGCAGTTCAAATATCTGACAATGCATATAAAGAGAACTAAAAACTTTAAGGCACGGTGAACAAAAGTTTAAAAATCTAAGATAGATAAAGAGAGAGCATAGAGACTTTATTGTCGAGGATAACCCTCAATACATGAGAAATTTCTTAGATTTAAATCATACAGTGAATTCTATCAATTGCTAAATATGGACTATCAGAAAATTATCTGAATTGATGGGTGTAATACAGACAGAACAGGATGCTTGCTTGTTCAGAGTAATAAACATACCCAGATTAATAATAGGTGACATGAACTCAAAGCATGAAAGAATTGCTCCATGCAATGATTTTACTAGAGTAACAGTGCCATCAATGTTCTTCAAAAAACTACCATCTTAAATTGGAAAATAAGACCCCTGAATTTAAAAATGTCAATAAAGCAAGTATATTGGAGTCAACTTACCTCGCCTGGAGTTTCAAGGAGTGGCTGCTTATCGGTTGAACCAACCAATGGCTCCGGTATATGATTTGGCAGCGGAGAATATCTAACAGATTATAGACATTTTCCACATTCAAGTCATTAGAGTACTCGTGACAGCTCAATATTTAATGTACACAATTAAAATATAATATGCAATCTTTGAAAACTATACCAATTTATATTGTGACTGCTTATAAAGGAATCTTGAAATATAAAATGGAACGATCCATTTTCAATATAATTATCATAATTAAATGCACGAATTCTCATAATGGCAAGGTTATGGAGATGAAACATATAAATTACAAGTGGGGAAGTAAAAAGGACAAACCTTCGTTCAAATATCACAATAGTAGCAGATGCATCACATTCAATTGAATGTTCAAAGTTTGGAGGAAAATAAGCATATGAATCCACCTGGAATTAAAACCTTGGTATCAAAAATTTTATAACCTTCATAGAATATATAGTGATAATTAAATTTTCTTGAAAAATGGTATAAAAGCTAGCAGTCAGACAAAAACAAGAATGAAAGAAAAACACCGCAATTGTAATGGTTGTACTATATTTTCACTGATCTTGATTACATAGCCAAGCAGTGTGCAAATAAGAGGGTTCACCTAAGGAACTATGAATTACGAGTATCACACATGAGGGAAATATGAATTTCTATGATTACTTACTATTAACGGAAAATGAGAGGATTCACCAAAGGAGCCAATCTTGTAATAGAGTGTGACAAATAGGAAATAATATCAGAAGCTGTAATGAATTTATGCATATATTTCTTCCCTTTTCCCTGCAGGGGAACACTGGGTGTATAATTCCACCTCGGGGAGTAGTTTCTCATGATATGTTTCAAAGGTACAAGTGGCATGAGAAGGGTAAAAGTTTATAGTAATGAGTGGCATGTGCAGCTCTCTGAAGCATTTGGCAGTAGAAAGAATGTCCAAATTTTCAACGGTTTCTCTTTCCCCTTGGTAATTTTATAGGACGATAATGTCTAAATCTTTCCTTGGGTGCACTTTACTCGAGGTTTTTTCAACGGAATTGTAACTACTGATACGGAAAGAGATTGGAAGTTCTGTTTCATATTTTGGCTACTTCGGCCAACTGTTTCTTTAAAGAGGATATTTTATTCCCCTCCAGATTCTTTTTCCTTTCGAATAATATTTTCGTCTTTCATTACTTTAAGAAAAGAGATAATAGTAATTTAAAAAACACATTAACCAAACCTGAGTTTTATATAAAATATCAATTTAAACAGCACTCAAAATTGGTAATCATACTGACAGAATAATTTCATTACAATAATATGATAAAGATCATGCAAGATATCTGAAAGATTTGATGAAATCAAAAGGAAGATGATTTGTTGTTGATGACTACAGTGTATTTATATCTTAGGTATAAACACTTATCCTTTCTTCAAGTACGAGTTTTTCTTCAAAAGTCAAAGAAAAAGTGTCTCAAGAATTTTTAATCTGTTAAAAATTATTTTAATCCATTAATTTGTTCTTCAGTAAGTTTTAAACAAATATATTTTTGAATTAATCTATTAATTTTACTTAAACAGTCAAAGAACTTTATGGGTCGCAATTTTAATCGATTAAGGAAGATTTTAATCAGTTAAAATGCTTTTTGATTGAGTTTTGAAAAATCTTGGTTTGCATTTTTAATTGATACATGATAGGTGTTACCAGTTAAAACTTCGTTACAAAAATTTCAGAGTTCTTTTAATCAATTAAATCATGTTTTTATCTATTAAATCGTCTCTAAAAAATTACTAAAGTTTTTTTAATCCATTAAATCACGTTTTTATCCATTAAAACATCTCTAAAAAATGGACAAAACCTTTTTAATCGATTAAGTAATTTTTTTTATTAGTTAAATCAACTTAAACTTGTTGCGCTGGAAGCTAACTCTAGTAATTTTAATCGATTAAATCACAAATTAATCGATTAATCTTATCAGTATACTTCAGAATTTTTCTATATAAACATATTAATTCACTCCCTCTTGATCTCAGTTGTATTTCTAACATAGTAAACTTATTACCTGAAGTAGTTGGCTAGCACCAGTACCATTAGCGACGGTGACAGTACCTTTGAGCACAAAGATAAATCTACACATAACAATGTTAAATGGTTTGGAGTGTCATGAACAAGGAATTGAGGAGGGGTAGAATGCAGAAACTGAGAAAGAGAAATAACAAGTTTACAACCTCTCCACACCAGGCAGGGGTAGTCCTGATCTTGAATTATCTGGAAAAGGGGCAAACCATATATCAAAAGTGTACCACGAAAACTGTGAATGGTACAATACATAAAATATCAAACGTCACAAATCAAATATGCCCAGCGGAGTTAAGGGAAAGTGTAAAGGTAGACTTGAAGGACATCATGAAAATCGTAACCCAATATCATATTGATCCCTAAAAAGAGAAGCAAATAATATATTGCCAAACAATAAAAGTTAGGCTGAAACAAAAGACCAGTGGTATATTTATTTTGGAGGTTTGTTCCACGACAATGAAACAAACAGGGAAACAGACATAATGGTTCTGAATCATGAAAGGAAGATATTTAGTTAAGGTGCAGTTACAACTTAGAAGCCATTCCAGGGCTTTGAAGAGTTGAAGTATGTGAAAGCAGTTGACGTGTAGCATTGGATGGATATACAAAGAGAAGAATCCTCTATGAAAAATGAAACCAGATTTTTTGAGGTTTACCTATACAAGTTTTTTTTTCATTATCTTTCTGGGGATTCAATATTTTCCATGCCAGACTTCTTTTTTCAATAATATTGATCTAATGTGAGAAGGCTTGTAAATATCCCGTATGATTCAGATACTGAAGGAAGGCAGAAACTAGCATTCAAATGATGCATAATTGTATATGAGCAGAAAATGGTATGACAAAATTAGTATCTTGGCAAATATACGTAGTCTAGATGACTAAAATAATTGATTCGCATATGCTGAAGCAACAATGTCATCAGACAAGAATATACCCAGGCAACTTGGAAAGTATAATAGATTCAGTGAAATAAGTCATAATCAAACCTTTCAACTTAGCTAGGTACATTACAAAGTGTGACCCCATTTCTGGTGAAATTAAATATGCCCCTGATGTGTCGATCCTGTCAAAGCAATTTAAGTTACTACACAACAAGAGGGCAATGAAGAAGCTTAAAATCTTAACCAAAATATATATATGAAAAAAATCAAGAGTACCAATCAGGCAATGGGCCATATACATGACTTTCTGGTGATATTAAAGCATGATTACTCTTGTAAACACTGCGTGTGAATCCAGGTAAATCTACAAATAAAAGCAAAGTCAGTTTAATATAAATTGACTGTAAGTTCTTTTCACGCAATAGTTGAAGACTCAACAGCAACATAAACTTTGAGATCTAAACAACCTTTACATATAGTTCATTACAATTTACTTATATATCACAACTCAAGAAAATCCTAATAATCAAGCCTGGTAGTCAAGTGTCACACTTCACCTCTTAAGCCAGATCTTTCAGCAACCCAAATAATAAAATCATAGAAATTTGAAGCCCACGTCTTAGGAAAAAAATCATGTGTCCAAAACATTGTCAACTACTTGAGTTAACAAGGCACACGAGCCTGCTGCTACAAACTGTACAATTTCATATTTTTTATTATGCACCTAATTTTTTTATAAAACATTTACATAATTTCTTTGCAACTATTGTTTATACACAAAAACCCTCTTCTGTCATAGAAAGACACAAAACTTCCTTCTATTAAATAAAAATCGAGGAATATCAAATCAGTAATCACTCGCTTCCTGCTCCACTAAACAATTTATATCAACATAATAATATAATTTGTTTAAGATACAGAAGAAAATAGTATAACAAAAACAGTTGAGTAACCTTGAAGGTGAAAAGGAGAGAGTGTGGGATTGTCGACTTTCCAATAAAGAGGTTTTGATTTTGATTCCGTACTAAGTCCAGAAGGAGCAGAGCAATACCCTTCTTCAGCAAACGCATACTTAAACAAGCCTGAAACAACAAATCATAAATCAAGTCATTCCTACACTCTTCAACCACCAAAACTCCTTCTTTTAGCAACCAAGAAAACCAACAAAGCATTTAAAAGTTTAAATCACAGTAGATATATTTGGGTGTTAGCTGCTGCCTTACTTTTTTCCTTTTAGCAGTCAAACAGTAGAGAACGAAATAGTGAGAGAAGAGAGTACCCAGAATAAGGAGAAGAGCAAAGATGCTCCGCATTTTCAGATGAGAAAAGGAGAAGAGTGGCTGAAGTGAAAGTGTGGGGATGTGGATGAGTGTGTCGCGGTCACGGACTGGCACTAGGACTGATAGAGATTCCTTAAGACCTACAATACAAAGCACGCTGATACGTGATACCATTACAATAATTGTAACATGGAATCTGCATTGGGCCATGTAAATCCTGTATTCAATTCTTTCTCCGCTTTATTTGTAAGGGAAAATAATTATAATTATATATAATTTATTTGATAAAAGGAAAAAAATAATAATAGTAGTTATTTGTTTTCTTATGTAACGTGGAGAGTTCCTTGGTGTCATAACATTTAATTTAAACATAATTGTTATTAATAATCTCTCTTGTTAGTAAACAAATTGTTAATTATATTATTTTGAGCTAAATTACCTCACATAATTAATTCATTAAAGTAAAGACATAAAATTGTTAATTATATGGACTAATCTTCACGATTTGTTTTCGTATAAATAACTAATCTTCACGAAATCTCACAATCACCTTAAATAGAGTGAAAATGTTATTTTAATTATTTTTTTATGGTTAAATTTAATATTGTGATAATTTGTTACCATTATAAATTCGATCAAATTATTAAATTTACGCCAAATTCACATTTCAAAATTTAACATTTAATAATGGAATTTTACCATTGGAAAGTTAATAAAACATTAAATTAAATTAAAGTAAATGTTGTTTGAGGATAGATAATTAATTTAAAAATACTCATACAGATGGCCGATCTTCTTCGGAGTTGAGGGCAGTGGTCCCCAAAGTTTTGTAAGTCCTATGTAATTAATTATTTTGGTCCCCCAAACATAATGAGTATTTAATATATTTACTTATATATTTACAATTTTATCCTCCCAGCTCATCTTCAGTTTTATAACTTTCATATAATTTATGATTTTGTTTATCTCAAACTTAATGATAATTTAATATATTTAAGTATATATCTATAATTTTATCTTTTCAACCTTTCATATTCTTTCTTCCTTTTATATTTATTTATTATTTATTAATAATATATTATTTAGCTTCCAAGATCAATGGTCAAGATCCGTCATTGCTCATACTA